AGTGGATTGAACACAAGATAGGTAGATTAAAAAGTTTCGGAGGTTAGTCATTAGGGAAATGCAAATCAAAACCACAAGATAACATGTTGCATCTGCTACATTGTTTCATACATGTGGTAGCTGAGGAACAAAACCCAGAAAATAACAGCACCTGTCAGTGTACATTTCTGGTGGGAAAGTAAGATGGTCTTGGCTGCTTTAGTGAACACGTGGTGTAGTCTCAAAGTTAAGCACAGAATCTCCACATCATCAAGCATTTTTGCTCCTAAGTGCTTGCCTAGAAGCATTGAAAGCAGGGGAGAAAAATCATTCTGATTAAAAGGAAAAGATTGAAATGACAGGTGGACAAGCAAGGAAGACTGAGACATTTGCAGAGGACAGCATTAAGTGTGTGCCTGGTGCATGTGACGGGTATAGATGCAAGATAAGATGGCTACTTAAACAGCTCAAGATTTCTCTCATATATATTTCTTCTTCCTTCCTTCCCCCTGCCTCCCTCTTTCTCCTCCCTCCTCCTCCTCTTCTTTCTCCTCTTCCTTCTGCTCCTCTCCCTTCTCCTCCTCCTCTTCTTTCAGTTGCTGGGGATGGAACCCAGGACTCCATCCATGCATGCCAGGCAAGCACTTTATCACTATACCTCCAGTTCCAAGAATTTTTTAAAAAGTTTATTTAGTGTGTGTGTGTGTGTGTGTGTGTGTGTGTGTGTGTATAAGAGAGTGGGTACATGTGCCAGCCACACTGTGTATATGAAGGCCAGAGGATGACTGTGGGATTTAATTCTCTCATTCTTCTACTCTGTAGGTTCTGGGGATTGAACTCTGGTGGTAAAGCTTGGCAGCAAGTGCCTTTTACTCATTAAGCCATCTTGCTGGTCCATGAACGTCTCGTTTTAGTACATTCATTATGTCTTCCAATCTACATTACAAAGTCTTTGAGCATAGACATGTATCTATTTTTAATTGTATACATAAAAGGTTTTGTATTTAAAAAGTTCTGTGATGTCATTTTTGGGTCAACAAAAAGGTGTTTGAACACCTGTTGTTTTCATTTCTCTTGACCACACACTTTGAGGTGGAACTGCAGGGTAATACGGTAATTCTCCGTTTAACTTCAGAGGAAACACCAACCATTTCCACAGCTGACTCCACAGCTGCTGTGCCATTTCACATTCCCACCAGCGAGTGCACAAGGCTTCCAACTTCTCTATATCCTTGCCAACAAAAGTTATTTTCCACTTTTTTGATTATGGCCAACCTGGTGAATATAAAGTGGTCTCTCTGTAGTTAAAATTTGCATTTCCCTAATGACTAACAATTTTCACATTTACATAACGTTTTCCATTACACCACCTCTGTTTTCCACTTGTTACACTGCACAGCTTACTTCACAGGCTAGGTCTATCAGCACCGATTGCCTTGATATATCCCAGTATACAGGAGATAGTAAATCCTGGACAAGGCTCAGGTAGAAGGAACAAAAGACAAGACCCAAGAAAGGGTCTTTGTTGGACTTCTCTTTCCTCCCTGATGCATGAGGCTGGATCCGACACTGCTCTGTTTTCTGAAAGTCTCTCATGCCCAGATGCTCTCTCATCTTGGCGTTCTCTCTTAGTTCTCTGTCACATTCAATTCTGAAGTCTCAGCTGGAACAGATGCACACATACAGAATAAGGAGTTCTCGCTTACACTTGGGCTACAGAATCACCTGCCCTGGCCTTCTGGCTTTAGAATGAGCCATATATAAATAGCCATGATGTGTCTAACACTCTGTTCCTTGACATTTGATATCCTTGTTGATGGAACAACTAGTAACCCCGAGTATACATTTCTGAGAGATTAAGCTCCAGGGAAACATTTCTCTTTCTTGCTCTATGTATTTATTTAAATTGAAATTAAAATAGTTAATATTTTAGCCTATCTTGTAATTGTTTTGAAGTAGGTATACATTAAAAATGGGGGGAGAGGGGATGGAGAGAGGACTCCATGGTTAAGAGCACTGGCTACTCTTCCAGAGGACTAGAGTTTGATTCCCAGCACCTATATTCACAACCATGTATAACTCTAGTTCCACAGGATCTGGTGCCCTCCTATGGCCTCTTCAGGGACTACACACACTTGGTGCACCAGCATACATACACATGAAACACCTATACATATAAAATAAAGAAAATTAATTTAAAAAATATATACCATCTTACAAATTCTCATGTCATCCTTGCAGGGTGGATAGGGGGACACTAATCTTTATTTCCAAGTTTGGCATTTGTACTTGCCAAAGCAAGTATGCCCTCTGTCTTCAGAAAAAGTTAACCATGTGTGACTGTCCTAAAGGCTGTGGGTTGTGGTCTTGTGAACTGCAGACAGGCATGGCTTTGGTACAGGAAGAACTGAATTGTCCAAGTGATTAGCTAAGACAAAGGAAAGCTTGTTGCCTTCCTTGTCAGTGAGCTTTTTATTGCTGTGAACAGACACTACGGCCAAGGCAACTCTTATAAGGACAACATTTAATTGGGGCTGGCTTACAGGTTCAGAGGTTCAGTCTATTATCATCAAGGTGGGAACATGGCAGCATCCAGACAGGCATTGTGCAGGGGCGGAGAGTGCTACTATCATATCTCCTTAGATAGAAAGGGGGCAATGATCCTTTTTCTTGTGTGGCATGGTATTGAATATTTGCTTTCTATTCTTTTTTTTTAAAATTAAGTTATTTATTTACTTTACATCCAGATAGCAGCTTCCCTCCCACCTCTCTTCCTAGTCCCTCCCTCTAACCTACTTTCTCTAAGCATCCATCCCTCCTTCCCTTCTCCTCAGAAAAGGGGAGAACTTCACTGGATTTCAGTTAGCCTTGGCATATCAAGTTGCAGTAAGATTAGGCCCATCTTCTTCTCTTGAGTCTAGACAAGGCGGCCCAGTGAGGGGATAGGGATCCAAAGGCATCAACGTAGTCAGAGACAGCCCCTGCTCCCACTTTAGGAGTCCCACATGTAGACCCAGCTACACATCTGCTATTTACATTTTCAAAACTTTTGATGAAATAGTCGGCTCTTTTTGGAAGAGGAGAATACTAAGCTAGAGGTGGTGGTGTACACCTTTAATCCAAGAATGTAGGAGGCAGAGGCAGGAGGCTCTCTGGGTTGGAGGCCAGCCTGGACTATACAGTGAGTTCCAGGACAGCCAGGGCTACAATGTGAGACCATGTCTCAAAAACCAAAACCAAAATAAAAAGAATATTGAATGATTTTAGCAACCAAGAGTCACAGTCAAGGATTTTGGTCCAATTTTACTCACTCGGCTTCCCCATCATCTTTGCTTACAAATATTTGTCTTCCTTCTCACGTAGGTAGGAATGAAGCGAGATCTATGGAGAAAGCTTGAGCTATGTCTGTCAGGGTCAGGGAATATGGGTATGGGTGTTCATCTGTAGTGAGAATTTTGGTTCCTTAAAAAATATAAATGTTATAGGAATATAGTTTTGTTTTAATTCCAGGTGTGGGATATGGGGCTGCTTTAGAATGTCCACAGCAGCAGACTATGATTTGCCTCATGCTCTAACAGGGGTGTGATTTTGCCAGTTGCAGGTAAAAAAAACGCTAGCGCCCCAGAGGAGTGCGGCAGTGACTGCTCCTCCTGCAGTTGGTTGCTGGTTGCTATTTGCTTTTTGGAGCTATCCTGACAAGCTCAAACTTGCCCCAAGGAACTTGACACCTCCAATCAGCAGAAAGTAGTCTAATGATACCTTTCTCTTCTACCTAGTGTTGTGGGATTAGAAGGGATTGGGTTAGAGAAGGGGAGAAGGGAAAAGGAAAAGGAACTCATAAAGTAGCCAAAATAGTCCAGTCACATTTTTCTGCTGGGTCTCTCTGTCAAGGTGAATTTGGCGACTGGTAGATGGGTAGGGTTCGAGTTGGAGGAATGCCTCAGATTTTTTGTCCATCCCCTGCAGAGTCTAATTGTAGCCATGGTACCTAAAGCTTTAAGCCACCCTTTCTAGGAGCCTTCAAGGACATTGGACTAGTGTTATGTTCTCTCAGGGCAGGAGTGAGAACCTTTCCCCCTTGTTGTAGTTAGGGTTTTACTGCTGTGAACAGACACCATGACCAAGGCAACTCTTATAAGGACAACAATTAATTGGGGCTAGCTTACAGGTTCAGAGGTTCAGTCCATTATCATCAAGGCAGGAACAAGCATCTGGGCAGGCCTAGTGCAGGAGAAGCTGAGAGTTCTATATCTTCATAGGAAGGCTGCTAGGAAAAGACTAGCTTCCAGGCAGCTAGGATGAGGGCCCTAAAGCCCACACTCACAGTGACACACCTACTCCAACAGGGCCACATCTTCTAATAGTGCTACTCCCTGGGCTGAGCATATACACACCATCACACTCCTCAAGGGTCTTTCTTCCCATTGGGGGTTTCAGAAAGCTTATCCTTTCTAAGGCTAGAAAATGAAGTGAGAAGGAAGAGGACAAGTTCCCTGCTCCTTCTCCCTCCAGGCACTCTGTGCCCATTAGAGGTGTGATTGTAATCAAGACAGGGGAATAGAGCTGAACCTGGAGAGTGGGACCTGGCAGATGTGCTGGCAGACACAGGGAGAGGTGTGAAGAAGGAGAGGTCAGCCTGGGAAACATGGCTGGAGCAAGGAACTGACTCCAGATGGGGAGGAATCTTTGTTGTCTCCATTTTTCCGGGGGGGGGGTCACAAGGAATAAGCCAAACCCCACAGTTTTCTGGGGAGGCAAGTCTTGGGGATTGGGACCTCCTTTTAGTTCTAGAGCTGTCCCTTAATATCCTGTCACCTTGGGCTTTTGGGAGTCTGTTTTCTCTTCAGAACTAGTAGCACAGCCTTTGAATTCAGATAGATCCTGTCCTTAACACCTACATGGCTTTGCACAGCCTTGGAATTTTTAAACCTGGGACTTCATTTTCATAAAAAGGAGCAATAGTGCATCCAAGTTGTGTTACTCTGTTTTCTGTTTCCAACAACACAATACCATGAAGCAGGTTGAGTTAGAAAGGAGGTTTATTTTGGCTCACAGCTCTGGAGTATTAAAATTATGTGGGGGAACACTGGTTTGCCCTCTGATGGATAGAGGTCTCCTTGTGCAAGAGATGGCATAGGACTTCACATGGCAAGACACAGGGAATACATGTATGAACCTGTCTACCTTCTGCTCTTTTTTTCCCCCAACTTAGTGGAGTACTGTGATATTTTGACACATGTATTCATGGTGCCTTGTCCAAGTCAGATTAAATGTGTCTATTCTCTCAAACACTCTTCTTAAAAAGCCATTAATAAGTCAAGGATGGAGCTCAGCCACGCGGCCTTGTCTAGTCCTAATAATTCTACAAAGGCGAGCTCCAGTTGGCTATGTTCCCTCCCTGTGAATACTTTCCTCATATGATTAAGTTTACAACATAACAAATGTGGGGGTATACACTCATGCCACAATAGTTATGGGAATTCAATAATAAATCAGTGGGGAGTAGGTGATGCAGAATCAGAGAATACTGGTGAGTCTGAGAGCAAGGTAATGAGGGTTTGAACAAGTGTTTCCAGCTAGCTGTGTAACCCACTCAGAATGGAGCCAGTCTCTGAAGGAAGGAGTGATGATAGTGTGCTCACAGGGCTGAGATCAGGCATCTGTAAGACCATCTCATAGGGCTCTGCACAAAAGTGAAGGATTATTGTTGTTCTTAAGCTTGGCCTCCAACAAAGGCTGAGTAAGTACTAAATTGGCCCAAGAGGGAGAGTGAGGGAAGGAATGTGAATCTTAGCAGGAGTAGCTAAAAAGCTGAATAGTCCCCACACTGTTTCTAATGCTAACAATTAAGCCAGAGCTTCAAAGAACAGTTCACTTCCTGGGAGGAAGGTAAGGACTTAGCAGCCAGGGAGAATGGGGATTTATTTCTGAGGAGGAGGGGTGGCAAGCAAACCTAGAGCCCTCAAACCCCTGGGAGACACAGAAGGTCCTAGTCTGGAGAAGGGAAAAGAGGGAGCCTTCCAAGCTCCATTTCTGTGTCTCCCTTTGTGACCTTCACTCCCTTGTGATCCACAAAGCAGAGATGCTGGCCTTGAGCCAAGAAATGCTGCTTTCCAATGCCCCCCACCTGGCAGCTACTGGGCACATTCAAAGATGCCTAGGGTTGAAGTCCAGCAAGAAGACAAGAGTTCTGCTATACTCTAATGCTACCTCTCCTTGCTTCTCTTGCCCAGGGAAGAACCCTCTAGCCACCCCTTTCCTTGCCCTCCACTTCCCCTTGATCATTCTGAAATGGGACATGCCAGGGCCAGGGTGCTGCTGGTTCTGGGCGTCACTGAGAAGCTGGATCTTGAGTGTTCCTCTCTTGGGAGCTCAGCCCATACACTGTGCCAGGGAAATGCTTTCGTAGATTAGTGCTTCCTGGGGTGGGGTCACAACAGCAGGTGGCAGGAACAGGGCAGGGAAGGGGAACAAAATCCCAACAGCCCAAGCCTCTGGAACCAGGAGTTGAGTTCTGGGATTCTCTCAAAGTCTCCACCTCAAGCTCACCTGTCAGAGACCAGCTGATGTTCACTACACAGACAGACCCCTTTATTTGACTGTGATCACCGGGGGCTTAACTCCAGATGTGAAATGAACTGGAGATTGGAGAACGGAAGCAGAGGCAGGAAGAGAGAGGCCAAGGGGCAGCTCACAAGTCAGACGGGAGAAAGGAAATTCTAGAAGACAGTCCAGCTCAAGTACCTGAAGTCAATACTCTATCTGGATTAAAACCTGCTTGATGTTTTCCCAAAATCTGTACTTGTTAAGATAGGCAGGTAAAGTAGAACAGTTAATTTCCAGCATGAGACAGGCCAACGGGCAGGACAGGCAGTAGATGCCACTCAGAACGCACATGTGAGGAGGACAACGGGCCAGATTCTGTTGATCTTCCTTTCCTCCTGAGACCTCATTCCCTGGTGAGTGGAGGAGGGAGCTAGGCAGGTGAACTCTGAGTTACAGGATGGTTCCCACCAAACCTTTCATTAATACCAGTTCTCTCTTCCCTTAGGTTAGTCCTGGCCCAGCGCTGGGCACCCCTCACCCAGCTGGATCCTTGCCTCATAGTTCATGCAGATGAGGAATTGGCTTGCTATAGGTGTCCGCATTTTGGATAAACTCAAAGATGAACTTCACCTGGTTCTGGTAGTTCTGAATGGAAATTTTCTCATTGAGTCCATGGATACTGAGGGAAGAAGCATTTCAGGGGAGGAGATAATGTCAAATGTGACAGCACAAGAGTTGTCACAGAGCACCCTCCCCGCCTCCCTATTCTCCTCCCCCCCCCAATAGATCTTTGGCCTTCCATGGGAGCAAGGTGAAAAAAGTCACTGTCAGCTTACATGTGACTAGCGGTTATTCCTCAAGGACCTGTGCTCATGTACGGGAACAGTGGGGGAAGAACGCCTAATCTGGGATGTATCCACTCATCTGTTCTGAGGTCTGTTTCTCCTCTGGGAGAATTATCTTCCTAATTTTTTTCTTAGGATAGTGTTTCCTGCTAGAGTTTTCTCTAAAGTTCTGCTCATCAGGGGTAAGGGAAGGCAGAAAGGCAACATTTCAGGACACCTCTCAAGTCTCTCTACTTTATCCAGAAACCCTGCTATCAGATCTCATGTTCACCTACAAAGTACAAAGATGATAGGAAACAAAAAAGTCAGCCTCAATTTTAACAAACAAACCCTAAATTATAAATACTATGCTGTTTGGTTTTTGAGACAGGGCCTCTCTATGTAGTCCTGGTTCTTTGGGAGATTGCTATGTAAACCAGGCTGGCTTTGAAGTCACAGAGATCCTCCTGCCTCTGCCTCCCTTGCACTGGGATTAAAGGCATGGGCCACCAGTAACTTGCTTGTTGAGTGCTCTTCTTAAGAACACATTCAAGTACTTTCCCTCTGTTTCAAGTGACCTGTGGTGTGGCGAAGAAATCTGGTGTGTTGTGATAGATTGCAGAAGGCTAAACGGAAATTATCATTCCCAAATTTCAAGGGTCAAAATTTTCGAAGAAACCACAAAACACTCACACATGGCAGTTAAAATTGGTGCTCACATTTTGGATTTACATAGTGTTCCTTCTGAGAAGGCAAATGACGTGCCCACATTTGAACACAATATGTGTTTGTTTATTAAAGAATGTGGGTGGGACTCCTTATTTTATAGGTGAAGAAAGTGAGATCCAGGGGTGAGCATTCTCCCAAAGTGAGAAATATGACATAAAGTCTCCTCCCTCCCTTTCTAGACGTGGTTTTTGTATTGGCTGGTTTTGTGTCAACTTGACACAAGCTGGAGTTATTATAGAGAAAAGAGCCTCCCTTAAGGAAATGGCTCCATGAGATCCAGCTGTAAGGCATTTTCTCAATTAGTGATCAAGGGTGGGGGTGCACATGGTGGGTGGTACCATCCCTAGGCTGGTAGTCTGGGGTTCTATAAGAAAGCAAGCTGAACAAGCCAGGGGAAGCAAGCCAGTAAGTAGCATCCCTCTACAGCCTCTGTGCTTCCTGCTTCCTGACCTGTTTGAGTTCCAGACCTGACTTCCTTTGGTGATGAACAGCAATGTGGAAGTGTAAGCTTTCCTCCCCAGCTTGCTTCTTGGTCGTGATGTTTTGTGCAGGAATAGAAACCCTGACTAAGACAGTTTTGCTACATAGCTCAGGCTGGATTTAAATTGACAATCCATGGGGCTGGAGAGATGGCTCAGCAGTTAAGAGCACTGTCTGCTCTTCCAAAAAGATCTGGGTTTGAATCCTGGTTGTCTCACAATCATCTGTTCTCAGGTGCCCTCTTCTGGCCTCCAAAGACAATGTATGAAAATGGTGTACAGATAGACATGCAAGCAAAACACTCACATATAAAATAAGAATAAATAAATATCTTTTTAAGTGGCCACCCCTGTATCTCAGTCTCTTAAGTGCTAGGATTATAGGCCACTACACCCAGCTTTACCTAAAGATCTTATTTTCAACAAGCTCTTATCAGTTGTTTGATCTCCACCTTTTAAAAGAGGAGTGGGCATGGGGGAGGGGGTTATCCCCACAATTCCTGGAACAATGATGCCAAACTGGTTTCTATAATCTCTCTAATTTGTCAAAATTTGGCTTTCCTTTATTCCGTAAGTCACGGAAACAGGAAGGGACAGATCAGATATACCTTCTCTCTGCTTTGCTGTGTAACCATGTTTCACTTACCTACTGAAGTCCTGAGGCTGTAGGGGAACAGGGTTGAACCGGTACATGCCATTGGTTATTTTGGTATAGTGTCGGGTGTCCGTATTGGCAATACAGATACCTAGAAAGGGAAGAGGAAGAAAAAAATGGACTTTATGTGAGCATCATAGCCAACAAAGCAAGGGGAACTGGATGACTGACTGGGAGCTGATCAGGACCTTGGGCCACAGGAGCCATCCTGAGACTTCTTAAGAGCATCTGCCTAGAACTCTTTTTTTTTTTTTTTTTTGAGACAGGGTTTCTCTGTCCTGGAACTCCCTCTGTAGACCATGCTAGCCTTGAATTTAGACATCCTCCTGCCTCTGCCTCCTGAGTGCTGGGATTAAAGGCGTGCACTACCACTGCCTGGCACCTAGAAAATTTATTTTCTAAGCTGTCCATTTTCAAATCCTTACAAAAGCTTGAACTTTAACCCAGAACATGGAATCCCCTGGAAGCCCTGTGAGATAGCTCTGAGTGGTCCACAGCTAAGTTATTCTCATCTAATGATCTCCAGGGAGGTCAGGGCTTTCATCTTCTCCTCACAGACAAGGCTGTTTGCTGTATGAGAAATCTAGAGAGATCGCTTGGCCTTTATTACATGTCACTTAAGACAGAAGAAGAGAGGGCCCTTTTACTAAGATAAAACAGGATCCTGACTCATGGAGCAGAACACTCTGCTGGTCTCATCTTCTGAGAGATGACTGTATGCTGAAGGCAAAGCTCGGGTGGGAAAATCATAGGAAACACCTCCTAGTCTCTTACTATCCCAAAGGTGGATAGGTCAGCTAACTGGGCTGGGATTTGCCTTGGATAGGCATGACCTTTGGGAAAAGGCATTCCCAGAATCATCGCCAAGTTCGTGAGATGATTCAAGATGGTATTTTGTGCTTTGTTCTATTTCTCTCTTCTAATATCATATGGGTACCCGGGTCTAATTCTGTGCTTTGCGGATTTCTTCCTGTTGATGTCCTCTGCCCCTAGTGTAGCCTGATCCTGCTCATGGGGTTATGACCGGTGGCATGGAAGGGGTGAAGGGAGCCTTTGAGGCTGAGACAGGAGGAAGTAGACTGTGAGATCCAGGGTCTGACCAGGATCAGCCTTTTGGAAAGGTACTCCCAGAGGATTCTTTGGCACAGTGATGACTGACTGATTTCCAAATCTCTGACCCTGATTTGTGGACATGAGCAAATGTGAAATCCTGTGTCCAATTCCTTCTATGTAGGTTTACTTGTAGTTTTCTGTGAACATCTCTGGACTTTGGATCTCACAGTAGGTGTTCTAAATTTTATGAAGTTCCCTAGGAGAACCACTGCCAGATTTGGACAGTATGCTAGAAGACAGGGAAAGTGCACAGGGACCTGCAGGCATTAGACTGAAGCAGGGTTGATATGAATGCCATGGGCTCAGAGGCTTTTCTGGGCTAACATTCGTCCATCTGCTGAGCTGTTTGTTATTCTAGGATGGCTGTGAGAGAACTCCTGCAGGAGAGGTATAGATCTCTGCTAGCCTAGGTTAAGCAAGTACCCACATTCAACTGACCTAATTTATTGTTTTTGTTCCTTTCCTGTTTGCGGTCTCACTTCCACCCTAAGGGGAAAACACAGTTCCAGGGACAGAAGCAGCCATCTGTTTCCAGGATGAATGGCTGTGTTGGGGGTAGGGGAAGGGGCATCAGATAGGAAGCAGTCTCTGCTACCATCACCACCCACCAGTCACAGCTGATGAAGTCATTACCGGGGACAACGAGATTGACTTCCGGGAAGACAGATTGTATGGTCTGTTGAAGCAGCTGGTAGCCCATGGCCTGGTCATCAGAAGGGCTGACGGGCAGCGGCTCAAAGGATCTCAACACACGCAACTGGACTCGGTCATCAGCCACAATGTTCTTGACAAGTTCTAGGACCTTCAGTATAAGAACAAAGAGGGTTTGGGTTCTCATTGATCTGCCATCTAAGCACCAAATTTGGATCTTAGAGAAAATGCTGGCTAGTTTTTTGTTACAGTAGGATCTCAACCTTTACTGCCTGCCTGTGGGTGATGTAAGGCACTTCCTAGAAAGCAGTGCAGAATTCGTGTTTCAGGGGATTGTCTTACAGCTATGAGTCAGACCGGAAATTGGATAATCTGGAAATTGTTCTTTCCCTGGGGTTGCGAGTCATGACCTTTAGGTCAAATGTAAGAGATGGCAGGATGGGAATCGCAGCCATTTCAAGGGTGATCCTGTTCCAACATGAGAGTCTTGAGAGGGGTCACCACAGAGCCACACCACATAGTTTTTCCCCCTCTCTTGAGCTGCAGCCTAGTTTTAATTAAATACACTGAGCCAGAAAGCACACACCCACAATCAGTGTGGAGTTAGAGTTGAAGTTTTTTTCCTTTGGCCTTTTTTTCTTGAGAGAGACCATGAGGAAACTTCCAGAAAACAGAGCCTGAGATGACTAGGGGGAATCCAGTAAAGTCCTTGATCCCAGGAGAGTACAGACCAGTCCCGAGGCTCGGGTTACATGGACCAGGAGGCTTTACAATGGTCCCCAATCCAGTCAGACACCCAATAAAAAGCTCACTATCAACCATGTGATCAGTGGTTGGTTTGAAGCTGCTTCTCTCTGTGCCTCAAAACTGGAGCCTCACAGCTGGAGATCCCCCACATGGGGGCATTATTTGGAGTGCTCATTTTAGGCCAATGGCTCCCTAGAAGTGTGGTAGAGGCTGTGTCTGGAGAGAGCAGTGAAGGTTCCCACATCTAACTCAGAACCCCATGTGAATCAAAGCAAATGTCCTTTGGGGAGTGGGGGAGGGTTATAAGAACTCATTTTCATTCAAATCAATTTCACCCCAACACTAGTATCCTCAATGCTCCTAATATTGAACTCACTGTGGGTATGGCTGAATGACAGAATGCTTGTATAGCATGGTCAAAGTCCTAGATTCAAGTCCCAGTACCTTAAACCGCCCCCTCCCTACTCTTCACACATACTCTTCACACTTATTTTTAACCCAGGAAAAAGCTCCTAAGTCATCCCCTATGCAGTTAATAGGGGCTGTGCCTGCTTTTCTTGCTTCAGGCTACTCCAGAGGTTTCTACATCTAGAAACTGAAGAAGATACAGAGATTCGTTCCCTTTAGTAAGATTCAAAAGCAGGGGCTGTGTCAACCCCATTCCCTTATTTACAATATTGAGCAAGTAAAAAGTAATAAATGTAGGATATTTAAGCTGTAAAAGACAAGAACCAGCAAAAATAATAAATAACAGGTGTTGTGTCACTAAGTGCCTTGCCCGTTGTATACAGTTAGGAGTGCGGGGCTTGGTGTCAACCAGATACACAACTGCATCCAGAGCACAACCAGAACAGGAGGCAAAGATCAGGAAAGAGTTCATCTTAGGTGCACAGTCTGGTATTGAATCTGAAGAGAGGATACAGAACTGGTAGAGAAGAGGCAAGAGATATTCCTAGTGTGGAAAAGGGTGGGGGAGAAAAACAGAGGCATGGCAAAAATGTTGTGCTTTGGATAATTACTCTCAGTGGTGTGACTTTGGGCAAGGTCCAGACTCTCTGTGCCTTTGCTTGCTCAACTGTTACCAAGAGCTGAGATTCTTCTCCATGTTTACGTCCTGCTCGATACAGTATGAGGGAAAGGAATGGGGTTAGGTGTTACAAGAAGCCATTCCTCAAATTCATAACAAAAAAGGTAGTCATAATTGGGTTGCTAAACAATGGAATGGCATATTGTGATGACTGCCTGTCACGAGTTTTCCAGTAAGTAGCCTATATAGCTAGATGGAAGGTGGACTTACAACCATAAAGACCTGACCACATCTTAAATAGCCAATGTTCTTACCTTCAACTAACAACACTTGTAAGATAGGAACATAACTCTACACATAAAGGAGGCCACCACAGACTGTGGGAATGTGCCAGGACTGTAGACTGAGAAGCGAAGAACAACCTTGGAGATCTCTCTCCCACTGATAGTCCCTCCTCTAGTCCCATTACTGTGCCTCTTATTATTGTTGAAGGGGTTGTGTCTACTACAAACAGACAGTTATTATAGCTCAGATCGGCCTCTAATTTACCATCTTGTTTCAGCTTCCTGAGGGCAGGGATAAAGGCGGATCCTGGCTGGGTGTGGTTGAGCATGCCTTTAATTCCAACAGAGGCTGGAGGACCTGTGAGTTCCAGGCCAGTGGGGGCTACATGGTGAGACCTTGTCTTGATCAGGATGTAAAGTGAATAAATAAATCAATTCATGGGGGGCTGTGGGGGAAAACAGGCCAATGTGCCCAAGCTAACACGCCACTGCCATGGCATTTAACTCTGCTTATGTCCCTTCAGTCACTGCACAATCACTTGGTGACACAGCAGCTGGTTACCTTACACTAACCACTTATGTTACCTGTTCACTCATTTGATTACTTGCTTGCTGCTGTCTCTTCTCACTGGACCTGGACCACAGGTACCATTAGAACAGGAATTTTGTCTTTCTTGCTCACAACTATCCCAAGTACTTAGAAGAATGCCTAGCAGGGTCCAGGGGTGCAGGCCTGTAATTCTATCTACTTTGGAGGCTAAGATAGGAGGATGAAAAGTTCAAGGCCAGCTTGGGCAACTTAGCAAGGCCCTGTTTCGAAATAACAAGGTGGGAAAAGTGGGGAGAGGCAGCTGGACAGTGGTGGCACATGCCTTTAATCCCAGCATTTGGGAGGCAGAGGCAGGCGGATTTCTGAGTTCGAGGTCAGCCTGGTCTACAGAGTGAGTTCCAGGACAGCCAGGGCTACACAGAGAAACTTTGTCTCGAAAAACCAAAAATGTGGGGAGAGGCTGGGGATATAATGGAAGGGTCCTCACCTAGCATGTGTGTGGCCCTAGTTACCCACTTCTGTCTGGATTGTGGGCAAGAGTAGATGTAAGAAGAGAATTGTGGAGCCGACATATGTGGATCCAGCATGACGCTCTGAGCATGTGGCCCTGGACAAGAGAGAGAAGTGACCAGGACAAATGGGTCCTCTGAGCTATCTAAAGGATGGAGACTTTCCATCTCTCACTGGGGCAGGTGGCCAGGATGAGTCCAGGGGATTCCAGAAGTGTCATCAGACAGACCAGGAGGGAAGGCCTCTGTGGATAGGAGGGGAAAGTATGAGGACTAGGGAGATGAAAGCTCTAGCAGGTGGAAAACAGCCTTTGGAAAAGGATTGAGTTAAAATGGGATGGAAAAAAAAAAACTGGTGGAAAGCTCAGCTGAGGAAATCCAGTGACTTCCTGATGAACCTCCAGGGAGGGGACAAGGTTGGCACCTGATGGAAAGCAACTGAATCCAGCATTCACACTGAGCTCAGTTCCCTTCCCCAGGGCCGGGCAGGCTGCTCCTCAACTCCAAGTCTGAGGAGTGCACCTCCCTCGAAAGATGAATCTTAAATGGGAAGAAATACTCTTAAAAACCATCTAGTAGAAATCTAGGTGTATCTGACCCTTGAGGATATGGATCAGAGTTCCTACTGTATTCTAGAATGTATTGTATTAGTCATCTGCCAGGTGTTGGCTTGCACCCTTTTTTCATTTTGTTCTTATTATCATTTTGAGTGGTGTGTGTATGTGTGTGCATGTGCACATATGCGTACGCTCGAGTGCATGCATGTGTAGTGTACAGATCAGAGGTTGATGATGTTGGGTGTCTTTATTGTTCTCTGCCTTTTCTTTTTCTTTTTTTTTTTTTAAGATTTTATTCATGTTTATTTTATGTGCATTGGTGTTTTGTTTGGTTTTGTTTTTCTTGTTTTTTATTTTTTTTAAAGATTTATTTATTTTATGTATATGAGTACTCTGTAGCTGTCTTCAGACACACCAGAAGAGGGCATCGAATCGCATTACAGATGGTTGTGAGCCATCATGTGGTTGCTGGGATTTGAACTCAGGACCTCTGGAAGAGCAGTCAGTGCTCTTAACCACTGAGCCATCTCTCCAGCCCTGTTCTCTGCCTTTTCATTTTATTTTTGACACAAGATCTCACTGTGCAGTCTTGTCATGTGTGGTGGTTTGAATAAGAACAGCCCCCATAGGTTCATATATTTGAATGCTTGGTTATCAGGGAGTGTCACTACTTAGGAGGATTAGAAGTATGTCATTGGGGATGGGCTTTGAGGTTTCAAAAGCCCAAGGCAGGCCCAGTGTCTCTCTCTTCCCGGTGACTGTGGATCCAGATGTAGAACTCTCAGCTCCTTCTCTAGCACTAAGTCTGCCTGCACGCTGTCATGCTTCCTGCTATGATAATAATGGACTAAACCTCTGAACTGTAAGTAAGCGCCAATCAAGGGCTTTCTTTTATAAAAGTTGCTATGGCATAGTGTCTCTTCACAGCAACAGAACACTAAGACAGCTGGCTTAGAACTTGCTATATACACTAGGCTGGCCTTGAACTCAGAGTTTTACCTGCCTTTGTCTCCCAAGCACTTAGGCTAAATGCATGTGTCATCTCATTCTGGTCTGAGAGCTCACCAACACAGCTCGATTGACCGGTGGAACCAGCAAGCTCCAAGGGTCCTCCTATCTCTGCTCCCCAAATGCTGGGTTATAGAGGTACACTGCTTGGCTGGCTTTTCTGTGGGTGCAGAATTCAAACTTAGGTCCCCATGCTTACACGGCAAGCACTTCCTACTGAGCCATTTCCCCAGCTCCTGCTGCTCATTGAGCTACTTGGTTTTGTTGTTGAGAATTTCATGAGTACTGTATTTATATCATTCCACTCTCTAATTCCTCCCATCTCCCCACATTCTTTCGAAATTTCATGGCCTCTTATTCCTTTATTATTATTGTTTTACACACACGCACACACACACACAGACACACACACACACACACACACACACCCTGCTGATTTCATTTAGTATTGCTCATATGTGTTGTTGTTTTTGAGGCCCAGGCTGGTCTCAGACTCCACTTACTTTCTCATTTACCCTACTCTTTGGCTTTAACATCTTATTCTTAGCAACATCTTAATGGTCCTTTAACACCAGCTCGAATTTCTATTAATAAGAAAAGACTGTGTGACCTTCTAGGTGGCTTGGCAGTGGTCCTGTGGGAGTCTGTTCACCCCTGATTATTACAGCAGCAGGAAAGAGTTGCAGAAGGAAGCAGCCCTTGGAGCTGGATTATTGGATACGTATTCATAGGCGCGCTGCTTAGCCTCTCAGTTGCACTGCGTTCCAGTTTTCCTTAGCCGAGAACAGTATAGTTCCTACCTTACTGGGTGGTGTGAGTGCACACATCTGTCTACCTAAGGATGGTACTAAGCACACTCAATCCCACAAGCCACTAGAAAGATTTACTACTATCACTATCATTCATTTGTATCTGTTTCCCAAACCAGATGTCTTCCATCCTATGTAGCTGTTGCATAGGAACTTTTCAAACCAAAACCAAAAACCAAAACCAACCCTTAGGTATTGAGGGTCCTACTTGATGCTGGACTTGCTCTTTGGAGCATAAGTACATACCTCATGTACTGTCTGCGAAGGGTGAATTCGGAAGTTGATTGTAGCCTGAGCCAATGGAGGGATAACATTCACCTGGACAGAGAACCATGTTATCTCACCTGAACATCTTCCATAGCTGGCCCCTGCCCAGGAAACACCAACTACCACCAGGAGGAGCAGAGGCGGCTGCTCTGGTTTAATCTAAAGTCTGCCTTGTCTTCTCCCAACCCTTCACCAGTGTTGTGTTCACTTTTAGGGTCTCTGCTTTAGGTGAGATCTTTGTACTTAATGGCCCTGGAGTGATCACAGAGCTGTTCAGAGCAGGAGGGCTCTCCCTGCGACTGCCCAGACAACTCCATGCCACTGGGAGGCTTCTGTGTGCGTGTTCCCAGGACATCCTGGCCATTTGTGTTAACATTAGTGCTAATTTATGGCAGAAGACCCAGAGTCTCAAGGACCTCTACCATCTTATGTTGTGTTTAATTCCCGAAGGGAAAGTAGTGCTGATTGTTTTACATGTCTGGTTACAAAATCTGCCATTTTTATTTTTATTTTTTTTGTCTGAACCTAAGACTAGTTGGAGAAGACAGGCTACAGGGCCATTTCCTCTGTCTTGAGAGAGATTTCCTTTATCTTTCTGTGGACTGCTAAAAACAAACAAACAAACAAACAAACAAACAAACAAACAAACAGCACCGGGTACAGGAATATGCTGGGCTTTTTAGGAACTGGCAGTGTGACTTTTGAGTATCTGCTACCTCACTGCACCTCTGCTTTCCCAGCTGACAGTTGGGACAATGCTACTTGTATAGTCCTCGTAGAATTAAATGGAATACTCTGCAAACCCCATGGAGAGAAAACTATAGATCAAATGCAATCGCACAGGACTAATATATTAGTATATAGCTGGAAATATATGACTATCTGGAGCAGCAGCTGGTGAAGATAGTCTAGGTTGGGTCAGGCTTGTTATGCCAGAAGTAAACTTGGAGGCATCATTCACTTGTATCAAGCTTGGGACTGGGAGTGGTGGCACACACCTTTATTTCCAGGAAGCTGAGGTGGGCTGGGATGTGTGGGTTTTAGGCCAACCTGATCTATATAGTAAATTGTAGGCTAGCAAGGGCTACACAGTGAAACACTATACAAAACAAAACAAAACAAAACTTCAAACTCAAATCAGACTTGGGTTCCAGGTTAGTATACTTTTTCCAGATCATATGGTACTCCATCATATGGAAAATGATGGCCCCTGGAGCTGTGCTGGTGACACTGATGGCATGAGTGGGTCTAAGTCTCTTCAAAGCCCAATGCCTACATTGGACAGGCTTGGTCCATTAACAAGAGATACTCGTTACTAAACAGTGCAACTACAAATGAGCCAACTTAGTGAAAACGAAGTGCTGCCTTTATAGAATCAAAGCTTATCAGGTTAGTGATTCTTAATTCCAGGAAGTAAGACTCATATAGAAATTATATTTATGCCGGGCAGTGGTGGCGCATGCCTTTAATCCTAGCACTTGGGAGGCAGAGGCAGGTGGATTTCTGAGTTCGAGGCCAGCCTGGTCTACTGAGTGAGCTCCAGGACAGCCAGGACTACACAGAGAAACCCTGTCTTGAAAAACCAAAAAAAAAAAAAAAGAAAGAAAAAAGAAAAAAAGAAAAAAAGAAATTATATTTACTGAGACAGATTTTGGGAGAAGATATCACATCATCGATTTTGTAAGTGACAAGTGAACAACTCTTTGAACATATGCCAGGGGAACAGACATTAATCATCCACTGAATTAATTTGGTGGATAAATCTTTATAAACAAGAAAAGATTCTACTTGGCTGGTGATCTCACTCTGAGGTAGAGCTCTCACGAGGTACAAGGCCATAGGCTTGGTCTCTAGCACTACCAAAAAACCAATCGAATGAAAAAAAAAATAGAGATTTTTAATGGTAAAGAAGGTTTGAAAGTTTTAGTGTAGCCGGGTGGTGGTGGCGCACGCCTTTAATCCCAGCACTTGGGAGGCAGAGGCAGGCGGATTTCTGAGATCGAGGCCAGCCTGGTCTACAGAGTGAGTTCCAGGACAGCCAGGGCTACACAGAGAAACCCTGTCTCGAAAAACCAAAAAAAAAAAAAAAAGTTCTAGTGTATATGACCGAAGTGCTAGGGAATATAAAACAAGTGGAGTTGTCGTCAGGGGATGGATTTGGAGACTCAACCCCCAACTCTCTCTACACATACATAGATCGACCTGACCAGGACTCTCAATGGCCTGTGGACCTTTGCTGGAGCCTTTGCTCTTGAGGCTTATCCAACTGATAGCAAGGAAGAGTGGCAGGGGACAACACTGGCCCTTCCTATTACTCATACTGTGGCCATGGCAGGAAGGGAAAGGCCACAGAGAAAGTCAAGGGATGGTGGTGCAGGTGTGGCTGGAGGGACCGAATCACCTTACCTTGACTCCTGCATTGAACATGGTGAGGGCTGCAGTAGTTCTGACCATCGCATTTGTTACAGGTTTCCTCTCCATTAGCCTGAACCAAAAAGGCTATGGTTAGACATCAGGAGGAAAGGAAAAAAAAATGCAGTGCAGAGAAAGGAAAGCATGGGATTTCACTGTCTTTCCTAAACCTTGAGAGAGACGTGAGTTATACACTAATTATACGAAGTATCTGTGGGTGAGGGGTGACTAGTCAGGCCAGGTAAGCCAAGAAACGGGCTTGGGAGCAGGTATTTGAGGTGAGAGACGGAGAGGAGTAAATGTAGTATATTACCTGCTCACAATGGGACGAAATAGCCACAGGTTTTTCAGGACTATATTGGTAGGGAAGGAAAACTGAAAGGGAAGGAAGAAGATTAGCAGGAGGAAGGGGTCAGCAGAGCGGGGACGCTGCTGTCAAACCTGAGTCTCTACTTCAGGCCTACTTCATGGCCCTCAGAGCTCAAGTCCCCACTGAGGTCAGCTGGTTCAGTCTGCATGAAGCCGGAGTGAGGCATGTTCCCACCTGGTATATCTGACTATTTAGAACTATTCAGCATCCTCAAGGATGAGGTGGAGTTAGCTCTCAAGGGACTTGGGTATGTTAGGCTGTAGGGCCTCAGCTATGTCCCATGAGCTTCAGACAACAAGCCCCTTCTTGGCTCAGCTGCTCGCTGGGAGGAGGGGAGGAGGGACAGAGACCTGACTGACACAGTGGCCATTCATTACTCTACAGCTTCTTCTCTACCCTCTTTCTGCTCTTCCTCCATAGCTGGCCTGGAGCATGCAAGGTTCCCCCATACCTCATCTGCCAGTAGCTCCAATGCCTTCTTCAATGGCCCGCCTCCAAACATGTTTGGCATAGGTGTCTGCTCCAGTCTGGAAGAGAAGAAGAGTTCTCAAGATCAGGCCTCTCCAGATCAAGATCAGTGTCTTGAAGATAAAGGAGATGGGTATAGGTTTCAACAACCTTGCTCAGGCATGAGCCTGCCTGCCACCTTCACTAACCTGAGTTGAGGAACCAGAGCCCCTTCCCTGGTCACAGTTGTAAGTCAGGGCCATGTCTTGCTTTTGTGCTGCTTCTCTGCACCCCATGTCCAGTCTCAAGGTGCCTACCAAATTGTGCCTGGACTGCCAGTCTACTGTACCAACTACTGTTCCTTAGGACAGGGGTTCTCTCCCTCTCCCTCTTCTCCTCCCTCTCCCTCTTCTCCTCCCTCTCCCTCTCCCTCTCCCTCTCCCTCTCCCTCT